ATACAACAATTCAGTGCCTTAAGGTTTATCAGAAGTTGTTTTTTTAGGATTTAATAAATTTGACCCATATGACCTTGAACATAGGTCAAGGTCATTGCTTTTTCAATTTTGTTGTGATTCATCCCAAAAAACCAACCAGCCAAATATCCTGACATTGGTTGTTGGCTAATAAGAAGTTGTTTAAATGGAAAAGTTGATGCCGGAAAGACAGATGACGGCACTTGGACCTCAGCATACTGAGCTATATAACCATTGCACAACATTGCTGAAGCTGATGAATCAGTTTTACAACTTACTAAGTTATGACAGAAATCATGATGAGCTAAAATTCAGTGAAAAGAAAATCTTCTCACTGTGACTTATAGTATAAGACTCCTGAGAATATGTCTATATATAGCAAATTGATGGCTATCGGGTTTGTATAATAAAAATGGAGCTTTTAAATGCAAACTGGAATCGTAAGGATGTTGTAGAATTGCGAGGTCAGACAGCCTATCAGATGGAAAAGGCAAAAATTGCACATCAGGTTAGTATGGTCAATGTATACAGCTTAAAAGCAAGCAAAATTAGGCTCCAGACATGAAACGTTTTTAAACGGCAATAACTCTGTATATAGGGTTCACAGGCCCTAAATTTTGTACATTGCACATTGCCTTAGTATCAATAAAAGTATGAAATTCTGCATTGTCGTATGTATCAACCATGTGTATGATGCATCTTTCAGCAATCAGACTAGGCTGTACTGATCTGTGGATGCTTTGATGATGCTATCGTCTAATGGCTGTGAGGTGGTGATAGGTAGGAGAAACATTATAGAACATGATCTGGTGGATGGACATGACAATTATCACTAAAAATCATCAACCTTTGTTCTGAGCCATTATTTCTAAGATGAATCAGATTTTACTCTTTATCTGAAGAGATTTAATTTGTGTAAAATGTGTGTGAAGTTTGTGAAACAAAAACATGCATACACGAGACAAGGAGCATAACTCTTACTAACTATCGTAATATTTTGGGGGACATGACAGGATATTTGATATCTTAAAGTTAGGATATGTAGCATTCTACTGTGTAACAAAATAGAAATTCTAAACTACTTACACATACAGCACACCTAAAATAGCAGCAAACTTGACCTGACTTGTATCTAATACAGAAACAACTATAAATGTGACGTGTTAATTATTGCACACAAAAATATGGAGACATTGACAAATGCAAAACAAAAATCATCTCAAAAGAGAAAGAGAGGGGAAAAAAACCACTTTTTTTGCTTCAAAATCTGAATCAATGATTAGCCTCTAAGATTTTCCAACAGTAATTTGAAATTTCAACCCAAAAAAAAACATTCCAAATATAGTTTGTGAATATCAGTACAGTTTCCTTACTTAAACATGAATCTTGCTTTGGCCCATTTCGTGGGGTGAGTTGCTCTTAAGACAAATTTCATGAACTGCCTTTGCAGTTCATGTTGAATTAGCCTCCCGAACAACCCCTTCAAAATGACCAAAGATTGAATGCTTATATTTCAGTTAAATTGGTTTGTTTTCAATATATTGAACTAATCCAAGTCTATAGTTACCAGAACTAGAGCAAAGTTAAATGAACTGAGTTAAAAGTATAGTCTGACATTTTAACTTAGAGGATGATCAAACAGTATTAGTCAGGCAAAACAAGGTTATACGACACAATTTAAAACGAAAAATTCAAAACAACATAAATAAATTGTAATAATTGATTTTGTCAATATATCAGAGAAAACATGAAAATTCTTCAACCTCGAAGAATAACATCTGTACCGAGTTCCACAGACGTGTCCTGCTTCCCACAAACTGGGCAGTAGTCATCTTTAAATTGTCATAGCGTGTGTTGTGACTCTTCTTATGTATCCATGGCACCAAGAACTTAGTCAAACAGATGTATCAGATTCACTCAGTCGATGATCTTGGTCTTGTTCATGATTTTCATTTCAGTCAGTGGAGGGATGAAAAATCCTTAGCAGATGACAACATTTCTCGGTTTTTAAGCTAACATAGCAAGCAAATCTGTTCTGCTGTAAATTTCCTCCATGTCACATTTTGATTGTTTAATGGTTTACATCATTACATGCACTTATCTCATCCAATTTATATTCTACAAATCTGGAGTAAATTTGAGTTAAAAGTTTAGCATCAAACATGTGTTGTCTCCCCTTACAGAATCTGTGAAGGCCATTTTCATACACCTAGAACACTCTTCATCTCGTCAAATACATGGACAAATGAAAAAGGCTAGATTTGGTAGTTTCATTGAGCCAAATTGAACTACAATAGTGTGAAACTAAATACATTTCATTCATTTATGTTTTCATTTGAAAATATTGATCTAAATTTGTGAAGTTTGACAATAAGACAACAACTTGTATTGAAATACAGTAAAATAAATATATAGAGAATAGAAAGGGTGGAAGTTTGATTATAACACATTGATAAATGACAAATACAACCACCGACATATTGTAAACACAGAAGTAGTATACTGAGGTGATGCAAGGCCACACTGTGGGCCTGGCTCACTAGAAATAAATATTCCCAGTAAATAACAGATTATATCCTCACTTTATTTCAGAACCTCACCATTTTTCTATCACACATTTACCTGTAAGGGTATACTTCGGAAGAGGAATATTTTGTTTTTGGTTTTAAAGATAATCTCTTGTGTAGAAAGCGTGGATCACACACAAAATGACAGATGGTCAGTATAATTATGGCTGAACAATTCAAGATACACAGCTATATGTATATAGAGAAATGTGGAAATCAAAGGTACATTTTCTGAAAGTCAAATTCACATCTTTTGTGAGATTTTCACAGTTCACAGTTTCTATACTAAACTGAAGCACATTGTAAGATGTTTGTTCGTTGCTAACTTCCTTTGCTTAAAATAAAAAGGCTAATTTCACCAAATTACGATGTTCTATGTTATTCCTTGTTACAAGGAATACATTATCATCAATGCCATATTAAGAGAAATGCCCGATAACAAACAAGACATCCCAGAAGGATCTTGGTGCCCACCATTTTTTAATCCTCATTTGTTCTATTAAAAGTTGGATCTTTTCTCTTCTGTTCTTTTTTATCTTGTTTGCATGTAATTTTATACAGCAGGCCTAAAGGGCGTGCATCACTCATCTTGCTTAAGCTGCAACTGCTTTATCAAAACTGAACTAAAAAAAAGTCTGAAGGTTTATATCTATTTCCTCTTAAGGCTCCTAATCTCTGTCCCCAGTGGGTCAGCCAAACCATTCCTACAGACCTCTCCTTAGAAGTCTCCTTCACCTAAGCATGCTTCAGACTAAATTGGAACAGAATCCAGACTTTCCTCCTGAAGAAAGTCTTTAAAACATTTGCACTTGTTTCACCTCTTGGGCCAAGCCCTTCCTATCACAAGGGGCCAAGGTCCTCTGTGTTTTACAAAATTGAGTCCCTTCTACCCAAAAATGTTTCAGACCAAATTTTGACCGAATCCAGGCATTCCTACAGAAGAAAAGTGATTTTACATAATTAAATCTAATTGACATATAAGGCCCTGCCTCTCTAGCCACATGGGGGCCTGAGATCCATCATTTATACAAAATTGATACCCCCTCACCCAAGGATGTTTCAGACATAGTTAGGAAAGAATCCTGACATTCCCAAAGAAGAAGGATTCTTAAAACTTGCTCCATTTTCCCTTTTGGGCTCTGACCCTATCGCCCTAGTACACCAAGACCCCTCATTTATACAAAATCGGAACCATCTTCACCCAAGAATACTTCAGAATAAATCTGAACAAAACCCAATCATTTATACAAATGAAGAATCATTTTACAGAACTTGCTAAATTTTTCCTTTTTTACCCCATCTCTCAGGCCCTGGTGGGGCTGAAACCTACAATTTATACAAACTTTATTCACCTCCCATCAAATTAGGTAAAAAGCTGTTCAGTTGTTCATGACTAGCAGTGATTTTTAGTAGAAAATTGAATGACACTGGACACCAGACACTGAACAACAGATGCCAGACACAAGATGCTAGACGATAGATGCCGAGCATGACATAAGTTCACAGGTAGTTTAGACAAGGTGATGTTAAAAACAATAATCTTTAACTGTCAAATAAAGAAGGTCCCCAGTTTCTGATCTGTTCCAAAGTCAAGAGAACACAACTAGGGACAAAGGGGAACCTGCATCGTAAATCTAAAACAGATCTATCCAATATTTGTCAAGTGATAACAATAATACACTTGCATTGACAAAATCCTAACTACCACCTGTCTGCCATCTTGTTCTTCTTACAGTCCAAAAAACAAAAGGCCACAACTTGGTAGCAAGGGGATTCACTTATAGAATTTAAGAAAGATTGATCCAAGTACTTCTAAAGAAATAGCAAAAATGTACATAGTCAAAATACAACATGGCCACTTATCATGTTGCTATTTAACTGGTCCCAATATCCAGAGGGCACAACCAGGGAACCAAGGGGAACCTTACATAAGAAATTTCAGAAAGATCCATTCTGCCGGAAATAGTGTGAACAAATTGTAATAGTCAAATTGTAAGCATTGATGTATCAACGAAGGACCAAAGGGAACGAAAATTTGGGAAATATCTATCCATCGTGTACTTGACAAGAAATCTTTATAACAAGATTTATTTTAAGGACAAAGGAAGGAAAGACCACCGACGCAGGGCAATATTTAACAGCCTACCACCACTTGACTGAATGACAAATTACACATCTGTACTTCACTAGGAATAACTATTTAAGACATTTACCAAGTGTCCCAATGTTTCTAAATGTTCTGTTTCCTCCAAGTACTGGGTCAAAGACAACTTACAGATACATCATTGAAACGTTGGTCTGCAGGCATGTGAAAAACACTAAGCCACTCTTTTTGTGGTAGTTTGATTCTAACCATTTAAAATGTAGATGTAGAATGACTTAGAGATAGTCCTAATGTAGAGCGTTGCGCTGTTATCAATCCATCTCCTCCTTTTTCTCTGCATCTGTCTCAATTTCTTCACATAAATCAGTGTTTGATGTTTCCTTCAGAGCAAACAAATTCTTTTCCTGAATTGCACAGATAGCCTCTTCCCAGCAGGATAGTGTCTGAACAGAAATAATAACAAACTGTAAATTGACCTGTATTTTACAATATTCTCTATAATCCCACAAGTGATTCCATTTCTGCTGAAGACTGCCAATTCAGACTTGTGTAATTTGGTAACCTGTGAAATCTGGACAGTACGTGTCAAACTAAACAAGATTCAAGGCAGGAGCTTTGATAAAGAATGATGAATAAAGCTATGAAAGCTTTCAAATTTGATAATAAAAAAGTAGATGTTTGTTCAAGATGTGAAAACTTTACCTAGGAATCTTTTTCAAATGGCCTTCTTTATTAGAACTTAAATCACCATCTTAAAATACAACATTATCTCAATAACACACTTTCATAACACAATTTCAAGGTATTGCACCCTTAATCTGATTATAGTTGACACCTATTAGTTTGATGCCTATCAGGTTATATTGAGCTTTTTGTCAATATCTCAATCTGCTAGGTTGACACCTTTCAGGTTAATATAAGCAAGTTGTAAATCTGCTATGTTGACACCTATCCATGTACTAGGTTAATGCCTACCCTTCATAGTAACCTATTTGTCTATTAACTAGGTTAATGCCTACCCTTTGTAGTAAGTTATTTGTCAGTTAACTAGGTTAATGCCTACCCTTTGTAGTAAGCTATTTGTCTGTTAACTAAGTTGATGCCTACCCTTTCATAGTGAGCTATTTGTCTAATAACTAGGTTAATGCCTACCCTTTGTAGTAGGCTATTTGTCAACTAACAAGGTTGATGCCTTCCCTTTCGTAGTGAGCTATTTGTCTATTAACTAAGTTGATGCCTACCCTACGTAGTAAGCTATTTGTCTATTAACTAGGTTGATGCCTACCCTTTCGTAGTAAGCTATTTGCCTATCTGCTAGATTGATGAAGAGTTCCTTGAGGTCACGTTGTTTGTTTTTGTGCCATCTCTCCATGTCCACCCTGAGGTCTGCATCAGCACAAGCTGTTTTATCATTTAATGATTCCATTTGCGTAGTGAGCTGAAATGAAGAAGTAAAATTCAATCAGGTTTGGTATTATAAAGTTTAACATCTGTCATTCCTGTACACACTGTGAAGAGTTTGCCATAAATCAGGTTTTGGGCCTGTCCATCAGGTTCATTTGAGCCCCATTCATCTGGTTCCAGGGAGATAAAATCCCTCATTTGGGCCCCATTCATCTGGTTACAGGGAGATCAGATCCCTAATTTGGGCCCTATCCATTAGGTTATAGGGAGACCAGATCCATAATTTGTACAATTTGAAATATCCACCTTGTTTTAAGCTTCCAACCAGATATTAGTGATACCCATGCAGTCCATAGTTTAGAGAACTTACCAGTAATATAACCCAGTTTCTTCAGAGAAGAACTTGTTTCAATCATTAATAACCATATAACCCTGTATTGCCCACCTCTTAGCCCTCAGAGAGATCAGAACCTCTATTTGTAGAATTTTGAATCACCACCTCCACTCAGAGCTTCCAAGCAAATACAGCAGCAATAATGCCAGATTCCTCCCATTTAGCTACATATCTCAGCCCCCAGGTGGGTCAGCCCCACCATTTACACAACTTGATCCTCCACTTCCCAAAAAATTTTCAAAGTAAATGCTAGTGGTATGCAGTGAATTATTCTAGAGAAGAAGTGGGGGAGTTGGTACAATTCTAAATCCCCACCACCTCTGATCAAATATGAATCAAGTGTATAAATGTTGGTTTATGGCAATTAAGCCAAATTCCCCCTACAACACCATTTGCACAACTATGAATCCCCACCAAATAAGTATGGTTTTATTCAAGTTACAGTCCTATCAATGTTTTAAAAGAAGTTATTTGAAGAAATTGTTGATGATGGAGTACAGCAAAAGCTTACCTTGGTCTTTAGAACCTTTTGAGCTAATAATAGTAAAATCACTTTAGAAAGAAAACTTTAAGACGTTGACAGTAAACAAATGCTTTACAGCATGTCACACTTACATCTGTAATTTGTTGTTCTAATTTATCTTGCTTTTGTTGTTTCACGTCTTCGGGATCCTTTCCAAGAAAAGCTCCGATGGAGTAGGTCTGGTCTGATATCTTCACCTGAAGTGTAAAGTTATTGTTAACACATCTGTCTACAGTTACTGTTAACACATCTGTCTACAGTGATGAAGTGTGAAGTTACTGTTAATACATCTGTCTACAGTGCTGAAATGTTGAGTTATTGTTAACACATCTGTCTACAGTGATGAAGTGTTAAGTTACTGATAACACATCTGTCTACAGTGATGAAGTGTTAAGTTACTGTTAATACATCTGTCTACAGTGCTGAAATGTTGAGTTATTGTTAACACATCTGTCTACAGTGATGAAGTGTTAAGTTACTGATAACACATCTGTCTACAGTGATGAAGTGTTAAGTTACTGATAACACATCTGTCTACAGTGATGAAGTGTTAAGTTACTGATAACACATTTGTCTACAGTGATGAAGTGTTAAGTTACTGTTAACACATCTGTCTACAGTGATGAAGTGATATCACAAATTTAAGTCAAACAAGTAAAACATCCCCACAGTTATTATTGATGTACATGATAGGCTAAAGCTGATCAAAAATGTGATGAAAATTCAATAATACTTGAATTTCACTACAACAGGACATCTGTGTAGGACAATCATTTAGTCCAATAACACAATATCATTATTGAGTTTGTTATGTCAGACAACGCCTATGTACTAATTTTTACAATATGTAAATTTTGACCAATCAGAAGCTCCCCTCGGCAGACATTATGTTAAATCAATGAGGCTTATGGGCCTTAACGGTCACCTAACTATAAAGACCTATATATGACAGGTCAACTTGGCCCAAGTTGTTCATCTTCTCTATAGCTAACAAAGAAGATGTGGTCAATTTATAAAAACATTTTCAGCAAATATGAAATCTTTTTTCTTATAAATGCTACTACACAAATACTGTGAGTCTGAACCTATTGCTTGTTGAAAGAAGAAATTTACCTGTTCTCGTTCATCCTTTTTCTTACTCAGCTCTTCAATTGTTATGTCATACTCCATCTGGATAGCATCTCTACGTCGTAGAACAGCCTAAAAATATATATATCCCATAGAAGTACACTGAATAGCATCTCTACGTCGTAGAACAGCCTATTAATATATATATCACATAGAAGTACACTGAATAGCATCTCTACATCGTAGAACCGCAGATAAATATATATGTCACATAGAAGTACACTGAATAGCATATCTACGTCGTAGAACCGCAGATAAATATATATATCACATAGTAGTACACTGAATAGCATCTCTACGTCGTAGAACAGCCTATAAATATATATATCACATAGAAGTACACTGAATAGCATCTCTACGTCGTAGAACCGCAGATAAATATATATATCACATAGAAGTACACTGAATAACATCTCTACGTCGTAGAACAGCCTAAAAATATATATATCACATAGAAGTACACTGAATAGCATCTCTACGTCGTAGAACCGCAGATAAATATATATATCACATAGAAGTACACTGAATAGCATCTCTACGTCGTAGAACCGCAGATAAATATATATATCACATAGAAGTACACTGAATAGCATCTCTACGTCGTAGAACCGCAGATAAATATATATATCACATAGAAGTACAGTCTGTATATACACCGTGTACAATACCCAGAATTGCTAAAAGTGTGAGCACCATGGGCTGCAAGTTAAAACAGTCGAAAGAAAGGTCATTGTAGGGCAGACAATATTTTGGTATCACTCCTAAAGGATTTTTATTTGACTTTCCATATATTGCACTTACCCCCTCAATGTTTAGAGTTTAATTCTAGTCCGTACCTTTGGCTGAATACTGTATGGTTACTTCAGATACTTTGACACAGATTTGCTAGTCTATTCTGACTTTTCAGTTTTGAAATGCATATTTTTCTTGTAGCAATGCCACTGGTCATCAATAGATAGGAGTTATAAGAAGATTTGTTGCTGGTATAATCAGTAACAAATCCTGTACAATAGACCCTGTGTAAACAGAAGTGTACCACCGTATCACCATAAACAGTACGACTTGTCACATCCACACGGACTTACCTTGATGGCATCACAATAGAGAGTGTATTCTTTGAGAGGCTGTGAGAAGTTTGCTTCCGTCCGCTCAATCTGCAAAAACAGTGTAACATCATGTATATATTCCTGGTGTAATATAGTCTGTTTATATTTGTGGAGAAACGTTTATAAATGTAAAACCAATATACAACTATGCTTCCAAAGACACCTAGAATTACAATTACTGGACCAAGTTTTTCTGTAGTAACATCACTGCACAGAAACTGATCTACAGACACATTTCTCTAGATGTACCTCTACAATCACCACATATCTCTCTAGATGTAACCCTACAATCACCACATATCTCTCTAGATGTACTCCTACCATCACCACATATCTCTCTAGATGTACCCCCTACAATCACCACATATCTCTCTAGATGTACCCCCTATAATCACCACATATCTCTCTGAATGTAACCCTACAATCACCACATATCTCTCTGAATGTAACCCTACAATCACCACATATCTCTCTAGATGTACCCCTACAATTACCACATATCTCTCTAGATGTAACCCTACGATCACCACACATCTCTCTAGATGTACCCCCTACAATCACCACATATCTCTCTAGATGTAACCCTACAATCACCACATATCTCTCTAGATGTACCCCCTACAATCACCACATATCTCTCTAGATGTACCCACTACAATCACCACATATCTCTCTAGATGTAACCCTACAATCACCACATATCTCTCCATATGTTCCTCTAAAATCACCACAATACTTCTGTAGTTATACATAAGCATCAACAAATCTCCTTCCCTGTTTCAAATGTGTGATTAGAAATTTCATTTTTGAAGTCAATGTACACAAATAACATTTATGAAATCTTTGACACAATGATCAATCAGTTAGATAAACATATAACTGCAAGGAAAATGCCTTTTTCAATCTTACTACAATTCAGATATTATCATTATGATACACAAGTTTCACTTATTGTAGCTTTTGTGTACATACCACTTCCTTCAGAGCATCACAGCTGGAGTCCACAGCCTTTGACATTGCCAACAGTGAGGTTGTAAGATTGTCCTCAGAGTTTGCCCACAGAGTATATATTGGTCCCCAGTCCTTCATCTCTAACAAATATTCTGAAACCACAAAAAAATTCATAATCTGAAAATTTTATTTGATGTGACTTAGCTGAGAGTACAAGTGCTGTTTTAGTTGTCAGAAGGAAACCAAAGTATGGAAACAACTAACCCAATAGACATCCTCGACTGCTGCTTTAAGTACTAACTTTTATTCTAGAGGAATGTGATATGACACTCACAATTAAATACATTTATCATGCAGTGATGCACAAATGTTGAATACTTTCAGATCTTAAAAATAGAAAAGACTGATATGTCAGTGATTAAGCCAGAAAAATGAAAGAAAATGATCGACTATCCTGAAACCTTCTTCATAACCTAAAGTATTCCCCTCCCCCCACTTCTACAAAGGTAAATGTGAAACCCCCTCCCCCACCTCAACAAAGGTAAATGTGAAACCCCCTCCCCCACCTCAACAAAGGTAAATGTGAAACCCCCTCCCCCACCTCAACAAAGGTAAATGTGAAACCCCCTCCCCCACCTCAACAAAGGTAAATGTGAAACCCCCTCCCCCACCTCAACAAAGGTAAATGTGAAACCCTGCATAATGAAATTTACCAAATTGTTTATCCATGAAGTGTATTTCATTCTTCCATGTCTGGGTTGGGTATTGAGAATTTTTTGATTTGAATCAATTTGAATTTGGCATCAGTGGAACTTGAGAAATTAAAAATGTGTAGAGTTAACATACTGCATAGTGACATGCAAGGCAAACCATGATGTATGTAGGTCATCCTGACTGTTAGGTCAGATGGCCCAGCAACTAAACAGTGACCTCACCTCCCTGTTCCTTGGACACTCTTTGTGATATTCTGTCGAGAACACCAAGCTTATCAGAGAAGGACTGAACATATTCATGCATCATTGTGAACTCTGGAGAGCGATTTTTCATCATGTAGGCAGCGCTGATGTTGTGTATGGAGTCAGAGACACGACTAAGGATACCAGATCCCTGCTTCTTGTGTGCTTGGAATTCCTAAACCCAAATTTCATATACATATATTACACTTTGAAATATGTTTTATTTTTCAATTAATTAACACAAATGAAATAGTTCAATTGAAGATATTCAGAAAATACGAGCAGAAAAAGCACTGTGAATGCTGTAAAAATGTTTCTCAACTTGCATGTACAAAAATATTTTTAAGCTAGAAATGTGATATGTATCTCTTTCATCTAATTATTGAGACCAATTTGGTTAACTGCCCTCCTATCAAATTAACTATTGATGTTTCAGACAAAAGTGTTCAAAATCTGCTAATAATTTTAGATACAATAGCATTTTATAGCAAAGATTTGGCTAATTTCTCTTTTAGGATTCTGCTTCCCTGTCCCCATAGGTTGAACTGTTTCAGAAAATTCGTCCTTTTTCATATAGAAAAAAAGGTAAAAATAATGGTCTTACCCAGGCTTTGGCAGTAAGGAATACACGAAAGTTTGTATCAAAGGACAGCACTGGGTGATCAGCTATCCTAGTCAGAAATTTCTGTAGAGCTGACTGCCGTACTTGTAAGAACTCTTGGCTGAATCTATCTAAGCGTCGTAGACTGTGCTTTTCTGGCAATGGCTTCAAAGTTCAAAAGAATGACAAGATGAATCCAACTAAAGAAACAAGTTATCAAAAACAGTACAAATATCTTCATCATTCCATTTAGACTTATTAGGAAAACATTATTGTGGACACAAAAATGCTGGTAAGGAACTTGTAACAAAGACTGATATTGGTGAATTGTTCACCTGTTCTGCAACCTACAAATAGAACTTGTCAATTTCTGCAAATATGAAAGCTAATTCCGAAAACAAAAGGTTTAAGGTTTACATCTTACCCCTGTATCCTTGAAAGTCATTAATTTCAAAAGAGACCCATTGTTTACTCAAAACTAGTTCCATTTCCTGAAAGATGCTTCTGACCGATTTTAGATAAAACCCTATCATTCTTACAAGACTTCAAATAATATACATCTCCTCATGGCCAAGACCTACTATCTATACACAAGAATTACAATGATGTCCCATGTGTCCCTGCTCCTCATGTCAGATTTATAAAAAAACATACCTACGGAGAGAGAAATTATATTGGTTAAAAGTAGAGCTAAACGGGAAACTTTAACACAGCACAATTAAGTTACAAAGTATATTTAAAAGTAAATTGTAGGTGAAATTAAGAAGCTGAAGTATGTGTTGAAGAAGCCATACATGGAAATAAGTATATTCTTGGTTTGGTTTTGACAGCTCAAATACTTTCAACCACGCTTAGAGCCCATGGGTTTTAAATCCTGATCATAAAGACCTACTTTGCCACCTTGTACAGGTAATTAGATAGATCAAACCATGTGTTTCCTGATCAGAAAACAATGTTGTTTTGACATCACAGAATAGAATCAAACGGCTTATTTCTCATATAACATCAACTTATGACTTACAGGTACTAGGTGTGTAGGGTAGCTTTCCTCTAGCCGTTGTCGTAGCCACAGGAAATCATTATACCTTCGCCTGACAGAGTACTCGCTGTCGTCAAACTCACTCCTGGTGGTCTACAGTACAAAATGTAAGTTAAATCAATAACAGTTTTGAATGAGTTGAACAGGTCTTCTGGTTCACATATTCCCTACTTGTAAGATTAAACAATAACCTATCAAGCACATCATGCCATATTTTACACAGACAAATAGGGGAGATCAGTGATTATTTTCAGGGTTTTTGATTTCAATTAATAGAGGTTTGTGTGCAACATGTTTGTCAAAATTTTTCACTCAGTTTTCAATAATGAGAATCTATTCAAATATTATGAATAAAGTTCGAATGTATTCTTAGTATTTCGAGACAAGAGAAAATTTTCAAGTCAAAAGAAGATTTTCAAAGTTTGCTAGCCCCATTGATTACCTACTTGCTGTATAACCAAACATTGGACCTATGACACCATGGCAGCCATATTAGATAAGACAACAAATATAGGTATAAACCTGGGAGGGAACTACAAAATACAGGAGTTTTTACATTGTGAGGCAAAATCATGCTCCAAGGAATGGCTTGTGTGCTTGCTATTTTTGCTTTCTAGACCTCAAGTCCATAGAAATTCAGGGGAGACAAGTCTTTTTGGAAAAAAACAACCTATAAAGACCCAAAACTAATAAAATATGATTGGAGAGTGGGATATCTTGTTCAATATTTCAACCTTTAAATCTGTGATAAACTAATCAGAGGTACTGTTCTCTAGTTGTAATATGACAATTAAAAATATCTGAACAAGATCAAAACAAAAGATATTTTAATAATTCACCTTTGTGTTAATTCTAAATGTGACATAGGCCTCCATTGTGCTTGTATGTTTCTCTGGGTCATCTACAACCACAAAGAGGTCACGAGTCTCATCATCAAGGTCATCATCGTACCGACTCAAGTTGGCTATCAGACTGGAGCTGCGCGACACGCTCAGGTCAGATTTTCCAGAGGCATCTAAACTAAGACTCTCCATCTGTGAATATCAAGGAGTGCTACTTAACACTTAGAACAACATTTAAACATGTAACAAGTTCTGAGAATAGCAACGAGTGCTACTTTAATTTGTAAACTGGCTGCATCAACAAGAGGCCCATAGGGCCTGTATTGCCCATCTAGATCTTAAAGCCCAGCAAGGTGTACATGCTTATAGGTTGGTATCTCAAGTATTCCCAAATTACAACTCAAGTCATTTCATCTCTTTGATAGCAACAACCAGTGGGTAAATTCTTATATCATGTCTGTCTTTTTCTTTTGATGTCCAGTAATTTTATATGGTTACTGTTTAAAAAATATGATTGAGAAAAAAAGTCCTGGGGGGTAGAATCAGATCCCTGGGCCATTTTTTCCATCATGATTCAGTTTATCTATTAATGCCCAACATTGCTATTTATGGTTATGTGGTGGGAATCTCAACTGTTTCAAGGACGTAACCCAGAAACCTAGTCCTGAGGGTAGGAGCCAGACACCAGGGCCAACTCTTACATTATGATTGTGTTTTGATCCCCAACATTGCTATTATAAATGGTTAGTGGGTCAGAGTTCTTAACTGCTCTAAAGACATAACTAGACAATTCTCTTACTGTGCCCCTCTCCTCCTGCCCTAGAAAGGTAAGACCCACCATTTACAAAAAAAATTGTTTCCTTTCATCAAAACGTGCTTTAGACCAAATTTGGACAAAATCCAATTATTCCAAGGACTTTAAATAATTGTACTATATATCCCCTATTGGCCTCTCCCCTCCTACCCCAGGGGAGTGAGACTCACTGTTTATACAAAACTGATTTCCCTTCATCTAAACATGTTTCAGAACAAAATTGGACAAAGCCCAATCATTCCTACAAGAAGAAGTAGGATTTGAAAGAATTGGCTCTAGTTCCCCTATTGGGCCGTGCTCCTTCTACCCCAGGGGGGGGCGAGAGTCACCATTGAAAGAAAATTCATTACACTTCGCCCAAAATGAAATGGGTACAAACATAAGGACACTAAGGGGGTCCTATCTATGAAATCTGAGAAATGAAAATAACAAATTTTCATTGTCAAAATCAATGATATCTCCCTGGAAGACATTTTGTTTTTCTGATCTGTCCCAAAATCCAAATGGAATAACTGGGGACCAAGCGGGACATACATAGGAAATTTGAGAAACATCCATCCATTGGTTCTCAAGATCTAGTGATAACAAACTTTGCTTGCATTAAAAGCTAAAATGGCTAAAAGCAAATGTGAACTTTCAATTCACTGCTCTGTTTTGTTGTTTCTTTTTTCAAAATTAGTATCTTCATTTTGCTTTAAATCATAGGTTTCAAGATTCATTCATTCATAACTGCATTTTAATTGTCTTTTCCTTTGCTTGGTTGTAATTATCCCATGAACAGCAAGGGTCACTTTGAGGCGGTATATATTTCCTTGCAGTAGCCGGTGGCTACCTCACTTAACAACATACAGAAGGCCTGTCACATTCATTCAGAGTAATCAGGATAAAATGCCTTGGTCATGGATACAACCAAAAAAACACAAATTAACCGATTCTCAGCTTCTTGTGAAATGTAAAAACTAGCATGGTTAGAAAGTATAAAACCACCGGTCTTCAGTGAGGTTATGTATTGGCCAATGTCTGACGGCTCAGCTACCATGGCCGTCATTTTGATCAAATTGAATAAAATGCAACACAGCTAGTAAAAACACTTTAACAATGTTGATCAATGATGTGACAATGCAGTAATAACTACTTTATGTTACGATGTGGATATCACTCAAATGAGGCTATTTAACCAGGTAACCATGTGATGCTTTTCGCTTTTTCTTGTTGTTTTAAAGAACTTAATGTTTCTGTATCTGTATTGTTACGCTGCTAGATCCCAAAAGTTGTATAGTTGCAGTATCCCTAACCAACACACATGACTGTCACTCAAATACAGGACTATTACTGGTATGCTATTCTCGGCCCCCATCGGCTGTCAAGTTTGTTGATATACTATCTGACAAGGTGAAAAGAAGGGCAATAACTCTGGGAGATCAGAATGTGTAACGCATAAACGAGAGTGCACCCAACCCGATTCATGCAATATCCATCATTGAGATATCTGAACACCACTTGGACATGGACAACTCTGATACTAAATGATAGGATCTTTAGATATGTAAACAGAGGCCACAGGACTGCCTCAATAGAAATATCATTAATTGATAGAATGTGTAAATGGGATCGTACGAAAGATCATAACACGCCCCATGTATGAACGTTACAGAAAATAGAAATAAATCTACTTAACACCACGGACTTAAATATAGTTATCTAATTCACTTATGCATCAAGAAAGAATTAAAGAAATGTATTATATCTAAGTTTAATGACAATCACTAATCAGCTATGTTTAATCGATATTTTTGTTTTGCTGAGAGTAGCAAAGGTAGGGATGACGCAGACAATGCGATGGATAAGGGAATTTCTTTACCTCTCCCTCGTCACTTGGATCTAGACCGCTAATTAATGGATCTTTGAATTTATGCTGATCGTTTGATGCATCAGAAGATGTGTTATCGTCTTCTTTCCCGGGGAAGATGTCTTCCGAGCTGGCCATTTTCAGCACCGGATCCCTGATATCAATGATAATCAGCTGTTCATGTATACTTTGTTTTTATTGGTCGAAGTATTAATTCCAACTAATCAGAAACCTCGTAAGATTTACCACTCGGCAGGCTACGTTTTCAATGCTGCAAGGGGCAAGTTGCAGACGAATAGATATATACCAGAAATGGCTTTTCAACCGCTTGGAACAGGACAAGGTGGGCTAAACAAAGAAGAAAGTGTCGGTTTTGTGAATATGAGTTTTTAAACGTGTATACATATAATGGCACAATGTGAACAGTACAGTACAGTCCTACAGTACATTGCCAAATACATCCTCTCTTCATCACATCGTCCGTCCAACAATAGACCTACTGAACGTGTACGTCGTACACGGCCCCGAAACCCCTACCAGGACTATAAAAATAATTGATGTCTTGAGAACAAAAAAAACGCTAATAAATTTTAAATTTTCTAAATCTACTTAAATGAATGAATTCTGCTATTTAAATTTACATACCTGATTGTAAATGCATAACCAACAAAACTACCCTGATCATAGTCATAGACCTAGAGACTAAACCACACTATGAAGTCTTAATACCATATAAGTGTTACATCTAATCTAAAGCAAACTGGGACAAACTAAAGAAATATCTAACAAAAACATCAGACGGCATCAGAAACCAAGGTCAGATTGGACAAGTGATTGGACATCTTTGAAATAAATTTAAGAAAGAGCTCAAAACCAACCAGGACAAACATATATTTGTACCATCAAAAATTATCCTGTCAGACAAAACCATGTCATGGATAAACTGCAATGTGTAATAAAGCTACAGCAGAAGGCATGGCTCTACAGACGACAAGCAAAAAGGTTAAATAAATGTAACAATCACTGTCAACATAAAAGAATGTAAATGCAAAATCAAGTAAGCAGTGTGGACATAGTGTTGTTACAATTTCTTGAGAAGTACTGTTATCAGATTCCCAAAGGTCACTAGTTTGCTCTTTCGACTGAGGCACTCATTGATTTGGAAAAGCCTAATGGCTGACTGGAAGCCATCTTCAATTAGACAGTTAAGCTCATAGTCACCTATTTAAGAGGACTTTTTTAATTCCATAGAATTAAGAGTGAAAACAGACGATAGAAGGGAATGGATAAAACTTTAAAAAAAAAAAAAAAAAAAAAAAAAAAAAAAAAATAAAGATCAAACAATGGTGGACACCAACATCCAGCTGTGATCTCTTGTTTATAGAGGGATAAGTCAAAAGGATAATTAATGTTTTTGTTAAATGTGTGATGAATTGTATGACTGGACTTATAATTGTAGAACATAAGAATAGGAAGATACTGGAACAGCTGGAGGAACAAAAGAAGAGACTGCGGATGCAAACTCATGGAGGAAGTGCTGGAGGAGTTGGTGTTAGTGGAGGCGGCAATGGAGCCTCCGGTGCTGCAAATGTCAGCAGTGGGTCAGTTTTGTCAATGTTACTAGCTCCTGTGTGTTGATTTAAACAATAGAAAGTGTGTTAGATTTTCATGACTAGCCCCTGTGTATTGGGTTATACAAAAGAAAGTGTGATCTACTTTTTGACTATGTGATCATTTTTTTTCCATTAGCATCTTTAAAATTCATGAAGTTCTGTCAAGATGAGGTCAATTATGAAGTTGACCCCACATATTACCCCACTATAATATGAAATAGTCTCTGTGCTGATCTTAATTTCTTGTTATTTCATAACAGGCTAACCACAAAGTATCTATACACAAGGCTAAGATATAGGTGATAGCCAGAAGTCCCTAATCTTTTCAGGTATATGTCAGATGTTTATGTAACGTTGTCAAACAGTGATGCCAATTTTGTTATTACAGTTCTACAAGCACGGTTTCTCAGCAAGCTTCACATTTATCAAATGTAAGTATACTCAGTCTCTGTATGTTGACAACAAACATCCCAAAGACCATGTATGTCGGGCGCAAGTCATTAAACATATTTATAACCATCAGAACAATGTCTTTAAAGGTCAACAATATGCATTGTATTGATGGTTACTTACTACATCAAATCACTGATTTCATAGGTAAACAGTATTAACATAGGTAAACAGTATTAACATGTACTGATGGTTACTTACTACATCAAAACACTGATTTCATAGGTAAACAGTATTAACATATACTGTACTGGTGACTATTTATTACATCAAAACACTGACTTCATAGGTAAACAGTATCAACATGTACTGTACTGATGGTTACTTACTACATCAAAACATTGACTTCATGGGTAAACAGTATTAACATATACTGTACTAGTGACTACTTATTACATCAAAACACTGACTTCATAGGTAAACAGTGTTAACATGTACTGTACTGATGGTTACTTACTACATCAAAACATTGACTTCATAGGTAAACAGTATTAACATGTACTGTACTGATGGTTACTTACTACATCAAAACACTGACTTCATAGGTAAACAGTAATAACATGTACTGTACTAATAATTACATCAGTTATTTTTAGCTCACTGGTCCGAAAGACTGGTGCGCTTATGCCATGGCGCAGCGTCTTATTGTCTTGCGTCCATCAACTTTTTGCTTTAATTACTACTAGTCCTGAAGGACTGAATAGATTTTGACCAAAATGGATCAGAAGACATGTAATGTAGAAAATTGACTGATGGTTTATGTAAGAAAGTCAAACCAATGGCCTTATCTCATCAGTCCTTAGATCAATTTTGATAAAACTGATATAACTTATTAAGATGACAGCTCAGGGAGATGCACTAATTTACCTTGGCTGATCCCCATGGGCTGTTGGGTGGGGCCAAAAATGGATCAAATTGACTGAAATTTTAAAAATCTTCTTCTCAAGACCCAGATAATGTAAAAACCAAATACTCTTCATGGATGGAAGTGTATTGCTGTGCTTTATAAATACTGTAAATTTCATGACCCCAGGGTCTCACATTTTTCCAAAGGGAGGAAGTAAAATTTACTTTATTTCATAAATGAAAATTACATTTTTGAACATAATTTATTAATTTCTTTCAGAAATAGTTCAAACTTGGTCAGAATTTATTTATTTTATTAGTATAAACTGACTATTTGATGAGATGAACATATTGAACTTGACTGACTCCCATGGGCTGATGACCGGGGCCAAAATTGAGTCAAATTGACTGAAGTTTCAAAGATATTCTACTGTTCTTGGATGGAAGATTCAAATCTTGAACTAAATTTCTTTTAATTGAAACTTTGTTTTAATCCTAAGCTTGGGACAACAGTTAATATATACACAATTTAAAAAATCATTTCTATGACATGTTATAAGAACTATTGTGACTTAGGTGAGTGTTAAGGCCCTTGGGCCTCTTATTGTCTTTTGTGTGATATGTGAGCAGTTGTACAATTGCCCAAGGATTTCATTGCAGATCAGCATGGTTATGGAGACACAGCAAATGACCCCAGCACAGAGAGCAGCATTACAGGTAGGAGTCTTATAGAATGAAATTTCTTAAAACACAATCAGTAGGAGATTTAAGTGCGACTTCAATAAACCCTCATCAGACAAATGACCAGCTTGAAATGTATTAGCACTGATGAGCAACATGAACAAGATGATAAGGCCAACTTTTTTGACTGTATTGTAATCATAAGTACATGTCTGAGGTAAAAAATAGTGTGACAAGATGGTAAATAGAAAAACAAAACACACAAGATGGTAACAATGTTCTGTAGTCGATTTGGCTAAACTTTAATACCCTTGGTCATTGATGTGTGAGAGTCTGTTTAGTACGTGCTCACTGTGGCAGATAGTGTTACATGAGAAAATAATCTACCCAGGTACTTCAATCTGATTCTGTAATCAATTTTCCTTTTCTTACCATATTTATCTGGGGAATAAGCATTTTCACAAAGGTTGAACTTTGAAATCATAAAGGTCACTAGACTTTAGGTCATGGTGAATCATTTCAATCATTCTTCGTCCATCTTGTATCATGCAAGGTGTGTCGTGCGCTCACTTTCACTTGTGAACATGAACAGATTTTGCTAAAATTTGCTTTGTAGCCCCATATAAATATGATATCAAATTATTTGACAATAGGACAGATTTAATTATATTTTACAGAGTTATGGCCCTTCATAGTTTTAATACCATTGGACCTTGTGAACACAATAATTTGAGTGAATATTAACAGATTTTGATCAAACTTGGTGTGAAGCTAGGCTAGCTAGGGTGGGGGTGGGTGAGGAGAGGGGGGATACCTGGGGCATGAGAGACTGTGCCCAATAGGGGAAATAGAGCAAGTTATTTAAAAGCCTTCTCCTTCAGTAGGAATGATTGGATTTTGCCCAAATTTGGTCTGAAGCATTCTTGTATGAAGGGGAATCAATTTTGTTTAAATGGAGGGTTGCAGTCCCTTGGGAGATTGAGGGGCACAGCCAAATGGGGGAAATGAGTAAATTTTTAAAAATTCTATTCCTCCTGTAGAAACGCTTGGATTTTGCCCGAATTTGTTCTGAAGTCATTTAATGAAATCCTTGTATTTTAATTTTATTTTACATACAGAATAAATGATATGTTTCAGCATGCCAATGCCAACTCTGTGGGCTACTTCATCACACAAGACTCCTCATTTGGGAATTTGATACTACCAGTGCTACCTCGCTTCAATGAAAAAACGTGACACGTGGATCAACAGAGCATCACAGATAGTCATCGTCATCGTCGTCGTCATTATCATTTATGTTTGAAACATGTAACAAAGCATTTATTTTGAATTTATTTTAAGGATGACTTTTATCATGAATGAAAAATACAATGAGATTGGAAGATCAAGAAGGAATGGACCGACAAAGCAAGAAGAGAAAAAGGACCAGTAAAACATGCTGAAATTTCATACCATATTTGATAAATATATCTATGGCAAAATTTTAATACTGTTTTAAATATTTGGTTGTAGAAACAAAAAGTGAAAGATAGTGGAAATGTATGTTGAACTTTGAAAGGTTTCATAAGGTATACTGAAATTCCAGATAATGAATATTATAACAAATATTAAGAGAAGGGAGGACTGATATGAAATCATATATTTTTGATGTGAGATATCTGCGATATACAGTCAGGAAGGATTTGTTTGTTTGCTGTAAAGTGAGATAAGGAAGGATGTGCTTGTTTGCTAGACAGTGAGATCAGGAAGGATGTGCTTGTTTGCTGGACAGTGAGACAAGGAAGGAATTATTTGTTTACTGGACAGTGAGATTGGAAAGGAATTATTTGTTTGCTGGACAGTGAGATCAGGAAGGATGTGCTTGTTTGCTAGACAGTGAGACAAGGAAGGATGTGCTTGTTTGCTGGACAGTGAGATCAGGAAGGATGTGCTTGTTTGCTAGACAGTGAGATCAGGAAGGATGTGCTTGTTTGCTGGACAGTGAGATCAGGAAGGATGTGCTTGTTTGCTGGACAGTGAGATCAGGAAGGATGTGCTTGTTTGCTGGACAGTGAGACAAGGAAGGAATTATTTGTTTATTAGACAGTGAGATTGGAAAGGATTTACCATAAATCAAATCTTCAAGATAATCAATGATTTATGCAGAACTTAAGTTGTCATGTCAACTGAATACCAAACTGTAAGTTGAGGAAGAATTATATTGATGCTAACAGTAAGACAAAGGACTAGCATGTAAACCTATATAAAATGGTCTGAATGGATTTATAAGATATGTTATATTAGGTACACATCTACTTCCTATAGTTCTTTGACCAGGTATGAAATCAAGAAGTAAACAAATGATGCCATTTCCTGTGTTTTGTAGTTGTTTTCTCCCTTGAGTTGGGAAAATGTAGTTAATCTTTTCTGCTGTTTTTTATTCAGTATTGTTAACTATACTTTTATGTTACATGTCACTAACTAGTCAAAGATAACAAAGTAGGTTTGTGTATTTGCATATGTTCATAATTATGTATGCAAGTATTTGAAATGGATGGAAATTTTGGCAAAGAACATGTTCTAGCAACTTAAAAATCCCCCTGGTTTTGATACATTTACTTATCTGTAGAACAGAAAAATTGGTAATAATTTTTAAAATGATAGTTCTATAGAGGGTTACAATGTGGAGGTCAGACTTATGAAGTACATTGTCCTGTTTGGGTTTACATATTAGGTTTGGTCACTTAAATTGATTTTATATCAATATGGAGGAATATCTCAATACAATTGTCCTTGTTGCCTTTCATCACTTACTTGCTTCAGTTAGGCATTAAACACATCACATCGTTTCAAAGAAAGAGATTCAATGAGCTTAAAATTACTCTCCTGTCCTCAAGCTTGCATGGAAGAATCAGTTTGTCAAGTAAATATCTTGAAACTTGAAAGGCTAATCCTCAACTATGCTTCTACAAAAAAATCAAGACCCAAGTTTTTCACAAATTTGACCCCTGTGACCTTGAAAGTGTCTCAAGGTTAATTATTTTAACAGACTTGATAGCCCTTCTTCCCAACATGCAACTGGACCATAATTGACACCTGAGCTTTTTGGTAATTGAGAAAAAGTAATTTAAAAATTTTAACATATTTTACCCCTGTGACCTTAAAAGATGGTCATTCATTTGAACAAATTGTTTTTTATGGCAGCATGCTACAGGGTCAAGATGGCAACTTGCTATCATGCATCGTTCGTCCATAATGCCCCAGTGGATATCAACCAAATTTGGTGTTAAACACCATTAAGAAAGGGGAATAATAATTTGAAGTTAATTTGCCAAATATCAGTACCCTGAGCATTTTCATTATTAAGAAGATAGTTTGAAGATTTTAACATATTTAACATATCAGGTCATCACTTTAAATAAATTGGTAATCCTTCACCCCAACATGCTACAGTCTTAAGATCGGTACACTGGGCATTTTCATTACTGAGAAGAAATTTAAAGACTTTTAACACCTTAAACCCTATGACCGTGAAAGTGGGTCAACGTCTTAATTAGAATGATGACTTACACGTGGCAGATTCTTTCTTAGAATGATGACTTACACGTGGTAGATTCTTTCTTAGAATGATGACTTACACGTGGTAGATTCTTTCTTAGAATGATGACTTACACGTGGTAGATTCTTTCTTAGAATGATGACTTACACGTGGTAGATTCTTACATAGAATGATGACTTACACGTGGTAGATTCTTACATAGAATGATGACTTACACGTGGTAGATTCTTTCTTAGAATGATGACTTACACGTGGTATTTAGAATGATGACTTACACGTGGTAGATTACACGTGGTAGATTCTTACATAGAATGATGACTTACACGTGGTAGTAGAATGATGACTTACACGTGGTAGATTCTTACATAGAATGATGACTTACACGTGGTAGGTTCTTACATAGAATGATGACTTACACGTGGTAGATTCTTACATAGAATGATGACTTACACGTGGTAGATTTAGAATGATGACTTACACGTGGAATAGAATGATGACTTACACGTGGTAGATTCTTTAGAATGATGACTTACAATGATGACTTACACGTGGTAGATTCTTACATAGAATGATGACTTACACGTGGTAGATTCTTACATAGAATGATGACTTACACGTGGTAGATTCTTACATAGAATGATGACTTACACGTGGTAGATTCTTTCTTAGAATGATGACTTACACGTGGTAGATTCTTTCTTAGAATGATGACTTACACGTGGTAGATTCTTTCTTAGAATGATGACTTACACGTGGTAGATTCTTACATAGAATGATGACTTACACGTGGTAGATTCTTACATAGAATGATGACTTACACGTGGTAGATTCTTACATAGAATGATGACTTACACGTGGTAGATTTGTATTTAGAATGATGACTTACACGTGGTAGATTCTTTCTTAGAATGATGACTTACACGTGGTAGATTCTTTCTTAGAATGATGACTTACACGTGGTAGATTTGTATTTAGAATGATGACTTACACGTGGTAGATTCTTACATAGAATGATGACTTACACGTGGTAGATTCTTACATAGAATGATGACTTACACGTGGTAGATTCTTTCTTAGAATGATGACTTACACGTGGTACATAGAATGATAGAATGATGACTTACACGTGGTAGATTTGTATGACTTACACGTGGTAGATTCTTACATAGAATGATGACTTACACGTGGTAGATTCTTACATAGAATGATGACTTACACGTGGTAGATTCTTACATAGAATGATGACTTACACGTGGTAGATTCTTACATAGAATGATGACTTACACGTGGTAGATTCTTTCTTAGAATGATGACTTACACGTGGTAGATTCTTACATAGAATGATGACTTACACGTGGTAGGTTCTTACATAGAATGATGACTTACACATGGTAGATTCTTACATAGAATGATGACTTACACGTGGTAGATTCTTACATAGAATGATGACTTACACGTGGTAGGTTCTTACATAGAATGATGACTTACACGTGGTAGATTCTTACATAGAATGATGACTTACACGTGGTAGATTCTTACATAGAATGATGACTTACACGTGGTAGGTAGAATGATGACTTACACGTGGTAGATTCTTTCATAGAATGATGACTTACACGTGGTAGATTCTTACATAGAATGATGACTTACACGTGGTAGATTCTTACATAGAATGATGACTTACACGTGGTAGATTCTTACATAGAATGATGACTTACACGTGGTAGGTTCTTACATAGAATGATGACTTACACGTGGTAGGTTCTTACATAGAATGATGACTTACACGTGGTAGATTTGTATTTAGAATGATGACTTACACGTGGTAGATTCTTACATAGAATGATGACTTACATGATTCTTACACATAGAATGATGACTTACACGTGTTCTTTTACATAGAATGATGACTTTGGTAGGTTCTTACATAGAATGATGACTTACACGTGGTAGATTCTTACACATAGAATGATGACTTACACGTGGTAGATTCTTTCTTAGAATGATGACTTACACGTGGTAGATTCTTACATAGAATGATGACTTACACGTGGTAGGTTCTTACATAGAATGATGACTTACAGTTGACTCTTTCTTAAATGTGTAAGCCCAGGTGAGGGGTCTGGGGGCCGCCTAGGCCTCCAGCGGGTCCAGAATAGGGCCCTGGTCGGGTGATCAGGGGGCGAAGCCCCCGACGGAAAAATAATTTCATGATTTCAAAGATGGTTTGAATCGTTTTCTGAGACAGTTTTTTTTATTATTTAACAACAAACGTCAACCACTGATTAAATAAAAGACTTTACTTTGTTTGAAAAACTTGCCGATCGACGTCTGTAATCCAGAAGCCTTCTTCATTTTGAAAATTTGCTCTTTAACAACATTATAATCGGAAACGTTGAAATGATAGTAAGAAGAACGGTATGACGTGTATAAAGTTCCGGAAAGCAATGCACTAGGCCTAATTATTCAACAATTTTCTATTTATATTTTTTGATTCATCGAAGATACTAGATATTTATTTTCAACCTAAGTTTTGTAATTTTGTCCAAAATACTCTATGCACGGATTTTTTTTATGTGTAAGCCCGTGCTTTTTTCTTTCTATGGAAGCTACGCCCCTGAAATAGAATATTTGCAGTGCTGTATACCAAGAGGATGTGTTCAGTCATAACTGACAAATTAAAAACTAATGGTTATTGAAAATTTTCGATTCCTTGTCACTGAACGCAAGGACTTTCAAAACAAAATAGACACTCACAAATATCAGACAGGTTCTCCTTAACAAATAGCTGGAAACTTTAATGAATAGTCGTAGTTTTGTTCAATCTATATTAGATCTGACAAAACTCCAAGCCACTGTGTGTTGTGAGGTAGAGAACTAGGAGCCAGCAGATATCTATATCCATACTGGTGAACGCCCCATCTATTTAGCATGCACATTACGCCTTGTTATCAACTCCACACATACAGGCCCTATAAGTCCAAACGGCACCATTGACAGCACGCAGTTTAATGTCTGTTAGTGATTGTCATGTGTCCATCACGATGGACAGTTCGGCGAGTCTGCACTTAAAATGTACACCCATCGGCGGACAGTGCACCTTGTACACAACATGTGTCCATTTATCATCTAGCTGTATTGACCGCTCTGTTGTGAATTGAAATGATTTGAATCGTTATACACAGTTCTGGTAAATTATATCATTTGTATAAAAAGTACACGAAAAAGGAATATCGCTAACACATGATTGTCGAAAACTACCAAACATTGATATGTCATGTTACAATTATCACGGACTCTAAGTCCATGGAAGTAGGATCGGAATTGACATGTGTTACTGTTTGACTCGATTTGGAAAACTACATCAAGAACATGTAAATGTCGTGTTTTCATTTAGTTGTGTTGTGTAGTAGTGATGAGGGAAACATTTTTATTTACAATATACCACGGACTTAGTCTGTCAATATACCTATATATTATCAGTGGCCCAAGGCTAACACGTTAGATACCCTTATACCTGTATGTATGTCAATTATTCTACACATATACAAACATGTTCGTGTCATTTACTATAAACAAACCCTTCTGGCAAGTTCTGTCAAATTCGTTAGACTTAATCCTTTCTCTCTCATTGATGAAGGTCGGATTGAATTACATCAGATATAACGTTAGATGGAATTGTTAATTCCTGGATATAAACGTCTTTACCTTGTAGTAGAAATAATGGACAGGGTAGGTTTCTCGGGTCTCGATAAACGTTCAATCAAAGGATATTTACGATCCTTAACGTGTATATAACTAGG